AATCAAAGTATTTTTGGTTGAACTATTCAAATATTCCTAATAAACCATATCTAACTGCTTTTTTGTCAAATATAGCAAAAACATTCAGTTTTAAACTTAATTTAATTCCTGGAAATTCTTTAACGACCCAAAATTTGTAGTTTTAGGACCCACTGTGGGGCCTCAACCCCAATTTGCTGTAGATGAAACCATAAAGTACCTGTGAGATCAATTTTTTTGAAAGAAATGTGAATACATTTTTGGAAAGACAACATTATCAACATATTATGAAACGAATGTCACGATGCTCAGACGGACAGTTGTTGAGATATTTGCATGTGAAGGAACAGGAAGTGATGTCAAAGGGGAATGACTGCATGTGAATGTTTTAAACAATAAACAAATCTTACTGATTATTTTAATATCTGAGATGAATTACAGTCATCCTATTTACAATGTGTTAACATTTTTAAGACTTCTGAAAGGTTGATTTAAGACATTTTAAGGCTAGTTAAGGCCTTAATTTTGGATCGATGAATTCAAGGCCTTTTAAGACTTTTGAAGGATCTGCAGGAACCCTGTGTCTCAGTGAACTTCACTTCAGCTAAAGGTTAAAAGGAATTTATCAGAAAATGTTCCCATTTGAACGAGAGAACAATGAAAACTAGACATGGGTTTTTACGATGTAAAAACGAGTGTACATTGCCTTGTAGCATGTCGTTGCCTGCAGCAGTGGACTTGCAGAATGAAATGGGACCAAGTTCAAATGTGTGACCAGCTTGTGCTGGTTAAGTCAGCAGGTGTTTGTAATAAGGGTAATTGTGTGACAATATGAAGTTTGTAGAGATTTTCTGTGAAAGTTACTGTTGCTGGGTTTCGAACCCTGATCTCCTACATGAAAGCCAATGGCACTAACAATACCATTAGAGCTGTGGTAGAGAATGAGGCCAGGGTTTGGTTTATATGTGTGAAGAAAGTGGCCACATTGCCAATGTAATGGTTGACACTAAATTGAAAAATATTACAATAAAGCAATATTAGGACAATATTATAGTAAAACATCAAAATACAGTCATATTAGTACTGTAAACACTGAACTATTGAGATTAAATATTATTAAACCATGGTGCAGTACTGAGT